TGTAGAACTACAAAGTGCATCTATATAGTAAGTGGAGCTGATAAAATGTGACAGTGAGCGTAGAAACAAGGAGGTGGTCATAATGTTATGCCTGATGTGTGTGTGTGTGTGTATATATATATATATATATATATATATATATATATATATATATATATATATAGTTTAGCCCACTGATGTCCAAGTTTTTAAGTCAAGCCTTTGTGTATGAGGTTATGTGTGTTTTTGTGAACTGTGTTGTCTTCTCTGTAGTTTTTGGGCTATATTGCATCACAGAAATTTTTCATACATTTGTAAATTATCTTAGTCTTCCTGTGCTAAATTACACAGTATTAGATAAGCATTACCCTGCTTTAGCTTTTGAGATCCAGCAAGTCCAGGGCATCTCAGTTCACTTTGGCGAAACTGGCTGGCAGTTCAGCCGTTAAAAGTTTTTTGCCACACCTAAGAAATGCAGACTTACTTTTTTGTTTCGAATGTCATCTACTTCAGAATCAGAATCACTTTATTTGTAGTTACACATACAACAAATCTGTTATAGTGAGTGCACACATGTAACATACTAAACAGACCAGATAAGCAGACAGATTATAAGAAATATTTAAAAGGGAGACTAGAAACAAAAGAGCTGAAAGGACCTAAAGATATATGTTTGAAGGAATTTAGATGTATCCATAATCAAATTTGAATCTCTTTAATAAAAATTATTTTGTTTAAGAATTGCTTAATATTCCCTACACCTAGAAACATAGTTCTTTGGCTTTTGGTCTCTCTTTGAGGATTGGTTTATGTTCCTTGAGAGGAACGCTCTGACATGAGACATAAGAACCGATTAGGCACATAGTTAGGCAAGTAGTTGCCTATTTTCATAGACATGCTGGAAAAGGACTCAGGGTCATGAAGCAGAAGTCACGTGTTTGATTAAGTTTGATTTACATGTAAAATGCATTCAAACTTGATATTTAACATCAGAGTATGCTATGACATGTGTAAGATTTTGCAAAGAGAATTATATCTATCAATGAGAAAAATAAGAGTAAATTAACAGAAACCAACAAAATTGCTAAAAATGCACAAGATCCTTTAGTCTGTAAGACTTATCCAAATTAACTTTAATTATTCCTTATTAGATTTACCTTAGTAACTAAGGATTATTTAAGAAATAGTCAATTATTTTTAATGGGTAAACGTATGTATAACTGAGTGAAAGGTGACTATTTGAACCTTCAAAGCCTTAAGCCTGACTGACAGCAACTCTTGCTGATGTCATTAAGAGGGACACTATCTTTGTTGACTGAATCTCACCACTGACACTGTTTATTTTTGCATTTGAGCCCATCTAAGTCTGCAGTTTTGAGTTGTATCGATGAATCAGCAGTTATATATGTATATTTTACATATACATTGACCAAGTCTGTGTTAGATGGGGAAGACACTTGTGTGTGCTTTCACTCCCCACCACTTTCTTTTTCTTCTCTCCTCTTGGAGTTGTAGCCTGCTGATTTTCTTTAAGCTTTTGCCTTTGTTAAGCCTTTGCTTGTGGGGTTATGTGTGTTTGTGGAAACGTGAGAACTTCTTTTTATCCGTTCTCATAGTTATATTTACTTTTTCATATTCCTGTCATCTTGGAAAAAAAGTTTTCTGATTCAATTTTACACTCTAATTAGCTTTAAAATATACTTATAATACACTTAAGTTGATAACAGTTAAACATGCTTCTGTTTGGGTGTGCTTTAATATGTAGAAATGCTTTGATTCAAGTGTATTTCGATACGATAAACTAACGTATAACATTGAGTGTGTTTACATGCACTTAATAATCCAATAACTACAGAAAATAAGGTTTTGTCAGTGATGCGATCAACACATTTACGTGCACGTGAGTAGTCAGATAATAAGAAAACTCTGGGTCTACATGAGTCAGAAAGTAATCGGATTTCTGCTTTGCACACACACACATATATATATATATATATATATATAATCGTATGTTTTTCCAAAATATACTAAGATACATTTAATTCCTGCAAAATAATTGCAATAAAATGTACTTTTTGCATTAACTATACACTTTGAGCATACTGACAATCTACTATACTATGATTTTGTTTTGCAAGGGTGGTCTGCAATGTTAGGTAACAACATCTTTAAACTATTTTTATTTTTTTTATTCTTTAAAATGTTGTTTATTTATTAGTTGTTCAGATTATTTTTGAAGTAATACTAATTCTGCTTCAGGAGTTATTCAGTATTCTTTCCAAATAAACACTGTTCTAAACTAAGAGTTAAAAATGGGGGTGGACAGAACTCAGCAGTCCCTGAATATGCCCACTGACCCTGTAGACTGCAACAGATACAGAGTGAAAGGAAAACATGTTAAAGAAGGCAGTATGCCTGCAGTCTACACTAAGTGAACAGAACATTCGGATCTAAGCTGTATCTAATAGTAAAGCATGCTGCATGTGAGCAGATCTGCACATGATACATTGAAAACACCTGTTTAGGGAGCACAGATAAAAACTCATTAGAAATGATTAATTTATGAAAGAGATCAATGGAGACAGAAATATACAGTACAAGAGATGCTAAAATCAGACAATTAAGTTCCCAGTACAAGTGCAGAGCCTGAAATAGATGAATTTATAACTTCTAGCTGTTTGTTTACAGTAAAATGTATAATATAGTTTTCTCAAAAATATATCAACATTATGACTATCATATCAAAATCTGTTACCCTCTTTTTGTTTTTTTATTTATTTGCTTATTTATTCACATCATTTGATTTACACCATCTGCTTTAACATTGTGAGAAAATTTCATAGTTTTCATGAACCATATTACATTTTGTTATCAGCAGTTTCCTCGTATTAGCTTGCATATTTTAATTTCTAGCTTCTTTTTTCGCTGCCTTGTTCTGTCTTCTTTTCTGCTACAATCTTGTCTTCGTGGATCTTCCAGTCTCTAGCGTATCCTCCTCATGCTGCTCCTCCATGGTAATGATATGTAGATCCAGTTCCTCCTCTTCAACTACTTTCTCAAAGGGCAGGTTCTGGTGCAGCTCTAGTGTGGTCTGCAGACACAACACAGAGACACAACTGATTTGTGGAACAGTTTCCAAAAGACAAGCTGCATTAAATTCCTTACTGTTTTACACATCTGAATCTTTTCCCGATACGCAGGAAGATTATCTGAAACGACAAACTGAGAAAAAAATTACAAACATATTGTAAAAATAATGTGATCTATAAAATTCCGTCAATTCTGTCAAATAATTAATTAATACATTTATTTTAACTTTAATTAATCAAAGCATCCATTTGTATTAAATGTGCTAAGCAAAGTCTAAAGGGGGGTGAGTAATATTAAAAATATACTTTTCTAATATTTTAAGGTGAGACCCTTTTTTTCTTCTTTTTGGTAGCACTGCAGGTCTGCCCTGTGAGAGCAAAGAAGATTTAAGCATTGAGACTACAGTTTAAACTTACTTGGAATTAAATGTCTTTATATTAATTTTCTATGTACTTTAATTAGTTTTCCTCTTTCTCTATAAAGTTCCCAGCAGTTTCCTTAAGCTGCATACGTGAATTTCTAGCTCCTTCTTTCAGTACCTTGTTTTGTCTCCTCTGACTCATCTTACTCCTGCTTGGATCTAGTTGAGGTGTGCTCTTCATGTTGCCCCTCCATGTAGAAGTTTCGTCCCGGATGAACTCCAACTCTTCTAACTCATCCGTGACTAGAAAACATTTCACATGACTGTATACCATCAACTTAACCTGCTTATCAAGCAAACGCTGTGTTTCTTCCAAGAACCAACAGAACTTGTTTAAGGGCTAATTTAACTAAAGGAGTTTTTCCTGAATTTTCCACTGAACTGAAGATGTACTCTTACTCTAACACAAAGGGTCTCAACCCTGGTCTTTTTATCGTGTTCTAGTATGCTTGTGATAAGGTCAGGAGGTTTGCTGGAACCTTTTCTCGTGCCATTTTAATAACGTAAAACACCCAGAAGAGATGTTGAAAGGTAATGAATTACCTTTACTGCTTGAGAATGTATACTCAAGCTTTGAGGTTCAGAAATCAAGGTTTGCTCCCCAGGAAAACACTGAGACTAAAAGCACTTAGACTAAAACACAGAGAAACAAGTAATCAGTGTAAAATGATCTTGCCAAAGTCAAAATATCAGTCTGTAAAAAATCTCTTATTGAGTCCCCTCATATTGGAGAGTCGTGTTTGGACTTTGGTGATTGTAAATTGTAGACGCTCCCTGATCAGCTCTCAGCTCTCAGCGGTTTCATAAATTCATAAAAATCAAAGTGTTCTACGAGTTCAAAGGGGATTATAATATCAATATGTGTTTTTAAGATACACATCAGAAAAAAAGGAGGGAGACACAAGAGGCTCAGACATGAAATGAGAACAGTTCTATTATAGGAGGAAATGAGGCAAGAAGTGAGACAGGAGAGCTTAGAAACATATTGTAGATCATAAACAGTTCATTAGTTGTGCTCATTTAACTTCTATTACGCAGTATTGACATACAAAGAGAGATCTTTAACTTTTTATTAAATGTTATATTTAGATAATAGTCAAATTTCACAAGATTTTATGTAGTTCTGAATAGTAAAGCGTTTTTAAATAAACATTTGTAATAATTTATATATAAAAGCATTAATATCTACAGCTGCCCGTGATCAAACCCAACGCTGTTGGACAGTGGAGTAGTGTTAATATTCCCTCCTATTTCATTCGAGAAGAGTTCTCTTCTCAATCCATATTAGAACCATTAAACTACTGTATTTTCATGTTGGAATTCTTTTGGTGAGATTAGATGCTACCCAATCAGAGCGCTTGAGGCGGGCCTTCTCTGAATACGGGTGGGATTTAAAGTAACGACCGTTTCCGTGATCGCGTGGTTTCAGTGTGAAGCCACTTCAGGCCAGGTGGTGGCGCTGTTTCTGTAACTATTACTTTCTCCAACTGCACTAAAGCGGAGAAGCAGACGACTATGTTGTGGTCAGCAGTCCACGCCTCCGCGCTCAGACAGTGTTGATGGAAACAGAAACAAGAGCTGAACTGTTGAAGGTAGGAAGCTGTCCGACACTTTAACACTCACTGTTCTTCATTCACTCTGAGACAAACAGCTGGAGACACGTTTGAGTCTGAAGATAAGATTTGATGGGTTATAAAATAGATTAAACACAGAAGCAGCTTCATCCAAACAGAGCTGAGTAATGTTAATGTGAGCTGTTGGGCCAGAATATTTGGTAGTTTTTTTTTCTGACTTGTTTATGATTTACACTATAAACAGGTTAATTGGCAAACTTTTATTAATAATGATCTTATCCAGTGAATTAAAATGTTTTGCTATCGAGACAGCTTTGCCTAGTTAGTTCCAAAGGCATGTCTTCTGGAACAAGCTTTGTGATTTTTGGCTTTTATTTTATTTTTCTTCTCTTCTTTTGTGTACTTATGTTATCAGCCCGACTCGATTACTGATCGTGTTATTCGTGTGAACGTACACGCACTCGTTATCAGGAAAACTGTTCTCATCAACCAAGTCATGGCATATTGGAAATGGAGCTGTAATAAATGGAGAAATACTGACTGATATGCTGATATTATCCAAGATGTGTGTAAACGTACAGTTATTTGTACAGATGTGGTGAGACAACATAAAGTGTTTCCTGAGAGCTGTGAATATCTGGGTGAGGGTTGCTGGTCAATGGCTGCTAGATTAAGAGCTGGTAGGAGTGTCTCTGGTGGGTGTTTGAGGTCTGTTTAGAGGTGGGTGTGGTGTGTCTAGTTCGCATGTCTAGTTCGGATGTTCCCAATCACTCCAGGCAGATTCCCAAGCTCTAATCCACAGCCATACTGACCCCTTACTTCTCTATGTGCAGTTTTCTCATCCCTTGTTCTTTCCATAGACTCCCATTCATTTTCAACTATCCCCTAAAAACCACTCAGTAAACAGCCCATGCACTATGGCAACCTTCAAGCAAGACCTTAGCAACCAAGACTTATACCATAGCGACCACTTAACAACCACACAGTGACTCTGCAACTTTGCCCTGGAGTTTCCAATATCAGCAGGACAACATGACTTTAGTAGTTTATATGTCTGTTTGAAGAGTTTGAGTAATTAGGTGATTGACTTTTCCACATCAGATAGAATTTTACTCTTTTCTTTATCTTTTGATGCAAGTTGATGCAAGTGAAACATTCATAAGTTGGATCAGGTTACTTTTGTTGCAATGCACATTGAGTTTAAATTTCCTTTTGTCTTTTTCTAGAAATAAATGATGTTTTGTTACAAGCCTTCTCCAGCTTAAATGTGTTTCCATAAACACATCAGGACATTCCACCAAGAGGATAAGAAAATGGTATCCAGAAGGCTTTCCAGTACTCAGCAAACACCATCTGGTACCCTCCACATGAACACATCTTACAGACAAACACAGAAGCCCAGCAACAAGAGAACTTACTGTTGCCTGGAGTGTGGGAAGAGTTCTACTCAACAGAGTGCTCTCAGAATACACCAGTGCATTCACACAGGAGGGAAGCCATATAAGTGTTCAGAATGTGGGAAAAGTTTTACTCTACAGAGTACTCTCAAAACACACCAGCGGATTCACACAGGAGAGAAGCCGTATCACTGCTCAGAGTGTGGGAAATGTTTTAATCAACAGAGTAATCTCCAACAACACCAACGTATTCACACAGGGGAGAAGCCATATTACTGTTTAGAGTGTGGGAAAAGTTTTAATCAACAGAGTTCTCTTCATCGACACCAACTCATTCACACAGGAGAGAAGCTGTATCACTGCTCAGAGTGTGGTAAGAGTTTTAATCGCCAGACTTCTCTCCAACAACACCAGCGCATTCACACAGGAGAGAAACCATATTACTGCTCAGAATGTGGGAAGAATTTTAATCAACAGAGTGCTCTCCAAAAACACCAGCGCATTCACACAGGAGAAAAGCCATATCACTGCTCAGAGTGTGGGAAAAGTTTTATTCACCAGAATTCTTTCCAACGACACCAGCTCATTCATAGAGGAGAGAAGCCGTATCACTGTTTAGAGTGTGGGAAGAGTTTTACTCAACAGATTCATCTCCAACAACACCAGCTTATTCACACAGGAGAAAAACAGTATCACTGCTCAGAGTGTGATAAGAGTTTTAATCGACAGAGTAATCTTCAACAACATCAGCGCATTCATAGAGGAGAAAAACCATATCACTGTTCAGAGTGTGGGAAGTGTTTTACTCAACAAAGTACTCTCCACCAACACCAGCGCATTCACACAGGAGAGAAGCCGTTTCACTGCTCAGAGTGTGGGAAAAGTTTCAGGCATTCAAGGGCTGTGACCACACACAAGTGTGCTAAGAGCAGCGGAGGATCTTAACATTCTGGGAGTGAAAGTCTCCAGGGAATGGTGCTTCCAGCCCAGATTTCAAACTGTTTTTAGGGGAAAACCGACAATTGTTTAAGCTGTTTCTAAAATTGAGCATAAATATATGCTTTTCTGTGCTCAACACCAAGTCAAACCTACAGCTTCTAGACACAGTGAGAATGTGTGGTACATTACATTCTCCCCAGAATTAGTTTCCTTTGTAATATATGTTGAAAACAATTGAGAAGTTACACATTCAGTAACCATTATTATTTTCAGAGACTTTTGTTTGGTGGTTGATGGTATAGGAGTTGGAACAAGGTATCCCCATCATTGTAGAACTGGGTGAAAGGACGTTTAGGGCGTTGGGCTACCCTGAGAGCGACTCTTGCTGACATTTTTTAGGATGTGTATGAAGGACACATCTTTGTTTGACTGAACCTCACCAATGACTCAGTGTTATGTTCCTAAACTAATCCAAGTCTGCATAACAATAGTTTTGATTTGTAGTGATGAATCAATATGTGTGTGGAATTCTGTTTGTAGTTTCCCTAATTTACATATAATTTGCAGAAAGGTATAACTGCTCCCTCTTAGTTTAGCCTGCTTCTTTCTTTCTTTAAGCTTCTTTCTTTTGTTAAGCCTTTGTATGTGAGGTTATGTGTGTTTTTGTGTTTCTTCATTTTTCTCTATTTTTTAGTCTTTAAATAATATTTCTTTTTTGCGTGTTCCTGTAAACCTGAAAAAATCCTTGTGATGAGGCAAACGTGTTGCCCATCACCAGAGACTATATGTATGTGTGTGTGTGTGTGTGTGTGTGTGTGTAATACTTACCTGAACACCTACCAGTAATACTCACCTGTTGTCTGTTTCCTAACACCAGCAGCAAAGGGAGGCAGAGCAGACAGAGCTCACTTATGAGTGTGCCGGACGGCCCACGGCTAGCTCATGAGAGGGGTGATGTCTCTACCTAGGTTACAGAAGACAGAGTGAGATAGACTAGTAAATGTGCACATCTTGCCGGTAATGTCATACATTAAGGCCTGGTGATGTGAGATTATGATTTTATCTACCCTTTTTTTTAATCCACTCTTATAGGACAGCAACACCCCTGCAGAGTGGAATGGTTTAGCTCAGGTGATGCAGGGGTGGGGCTAACCCTATAAGAGGTAGGGGAAAGGTGTAGTAGGGGGCTTGACGATACTCACCTCAGACTGTGAAGAGACTAAGGGGGAAGGGAGTAAGAGCCAAGCTGGAGAGAATATAGTACTATGGCCTTGCGGCCTAAGACTCCTTACCTGGACTGATCGAGTCAGGTCAACATTTTACCCACCACTTACTTTGTTTGTACAGTTTTTCTTTTGTGTGTTTCCACCATGTAAATAAATCTCACTGATTGCCAACAATCATCCAGAGTCGTCACATCTTCAGTCTGCAACTGCATTCCAACACCCATTCAGTCACAATCTACCCGGTGACTTCGTGTCTCCTCATGGGGTTCGGCGGAGCATCGTCACATTATGGTGGCAGCGGTATCTGGTTCCCTCGATGATCGTCATTAAGATAGCAGCGGAGTCTGGTTCCCACGACGCTCATCACATCATAGCGGCTGCAGCGATTCACACTGTGGTGGCAGTAGTGAGCCCGGCAACAGAGAAAAGGCGACACTGAAGGAGTGAGGCGGGAAAACAGACATGGCGGCGTCCATGTAGATCGCGAACGGTGAGAGAAAGGACTCAGAAAACTGTATAAAAGGACTTTTGGGTGTAGCTACGAGGCAGATGTGGAGAGAAATGCCTCCTAGGAAAGCGGCAACGAACTCTCATACGGAGGAGCAGAATGAGAGCGCGAGTGAGCAACGGCAGCAGCCGACGGCGTCAGCTGAATCCACCGCCGGCAGTACAACAGCGAGCATTGAGCAAGTCTGCGAGTTACTCCCAGGGCTTCATCGCCGAGCAGAGGGGTAAAGACGAGCTCATACGTCGCGAAATGGCAAGACAAGAGCAAAGATGGCGGTCGCTTCAGCATCAGTTCGGACTTTTGCAAGGAGAAGTCCAGAAAAGCCAGCTCGCGGCGAGTTTGGACAGCGCGGGGAGCGAGGAGCAGATTGCGCAACCTCAAGCACGGATTTTAAGGACTTCACAAACGGCAGCGGCGAGCCAAAGACAGTGGCAGGAGGAGCGATCTACAGCGCAAATGGTATGGCAAGCTCCTAGAATGTCTACTTTGAAAGAGACTGATGACATTGAACACTTTCTGACTACATTCGAACGTTTAGCACAAGCTGTACAGTGGCCTGTAGAGAGCTGGGCACTTCACCTGATTCCTTTGCTAGAAGGCAAAGCAAGAGCAGCTTATGTTGCAATGGACGCTGAAGACGCATGTGACTATGAAAAAGTAAAGAACGCAGTGCTAAGAAAGTATGAAATTAACAGAGACGTATAGGCAGCGTTTCAGAGACTGTGCTGTGAGAGCAGATGACACACCCAGGGAACTGTACACCAGATTGAAGGGACTGTATGAGAAATGGATGACGCCACGTGAGAAAACCAAAGAGCAGATTGGCGACTCCATCATGGAATAGTACCTCAAGATGGTGAACCCTGAGCTCCGCAGCTGGATCATCGAACGCAGCCCAACATCAACGGATCAAGCAGTCACACTCACAGAAGCGTACATCGCAGCCAGACAAGCTGAAGGAAAGTTCCGGCTGGGAGATCTGAGCACGCCACGGTACAGCTGTGAACCCGGTAAGTTTGGGGATGGTTATCGTAGTGGTTCTAAACCCCAGGTTTTTAGATCATCCACTCAGGGCTACCGACAAAGCTCAGATAAAAATAAAGCCAGAACTTGCAACATTAAACGTAGCCCAGATAAAACTATCAGATGTTTTAACTGTAATCAAGTGGGTCACAAAGCTAACCTATGCCCTAAGCTTCAGAGCAGTACCAACCAGCTGTGTTATACACCTGCAAGGAACGAGAGTTTTAAACCAAAAGAGTTCAGTAAAGATGTGATTTTAACTGTCAAAGTAGGGGGCAAAAAGCGCAGAGCGCTACTAGACACTGGTGCAAGTCAAACGCTAGTGCTAGCTGACTGTCTCCCAGAGACGCAGTTAAAATACACAGGAGAGCTCAGAGTTAAATGCATACACGGGGGAGAGCAGATTTACCCAACAGCTGAGGTTAACATTGAGGTTAACGGTCAAACATACTTACTGAATGTGGGTATTTTGGAAAACGCCCCTTATGCTGTAATCCTTGGCAGAGACGTACCAGTGCTAGTAGATCTTTTAATTCAAAAGCAAAGTAAAGCGGAAGCAATGGTAATGACCCGTGCACAGACTAAAAATACAGGGCAAGAAAGTGCAGCATTAATGAAGGAACTCCCATTCTGTAATATTACTAAAAAGTGTAAATCTAAAGCTGTCAGAAGGCAGGAAGAGGTCAGAGGTACACCCATAGAGGAATGCGTAAAGCCTCTAGAACTAGATGTAGAAGGGTTAATATCTGACATAGCCAAACAGCAAGCAGAAGACCCTACGCTGAAATCTTTGTTTTTAAAATGTACTGAAGCCACAGCTGAATGTGACAAACAGTTCATTTTAAAAGACAATATTTTATACAGAATCAAGGGCGAGTTCGAACAGTTAGTAGTACCCAAAAACTTAAGGCAGCAAGTACTTAAACTTGCACACTCAGAGCCTTGGGCAGGTCATATGGGGACAATCAAAACACTAAGCAGGATAGTCACTAGGTTTTACTGGCCGCGTCAATATCAAGATGTGGTAGAATATTATAAAGCATGTCCTGAATGCCAACTTACAGCCCCTTTGAAAAGTGCAGGCAAAGTTCCCATGATTAACTTGTCCATTGTAGATGTTCCATTTTCGCGTATTGCCATGGACATAGCAGGACCTCTTCCAAGAAGTCGTGGGGGTAACCGCTATATCCTAGTAATATGTGATTATGCAACAAGGTACCCAGAGGCGTTTGCATTGAGAAAGGTGAAGACAAGGCAGATTGTCAACGCCTTAATCCAACTCATCTCACGGGTAGGAATCCCAAAAGAGATTTTAGCGGATCAGGGGTCTAATTTTACGTCCAGGCAGCTCACTGATGTTTTTAAACTACTGGGGGTTAGGGGTATCAGAACCACACCATACCACCCTCAGACTGACGGGCTAACTGAACGCTTCATCCAGACCCTGAAGTCCATGCTACGCCGTTTTGTCTCTGAGGTTGGAGCAGATTGGGACACATGGCTCCCATATGTCCTGTTTGCATACCGGGAGGTGCCACAAGCGTCAACAGGATTTTCACCATTCTAGCTTCTCTATGGTAGAGAGGTGAGAGGACCGTTAGACGTCCTGAAAGAGGCCTGGGAAGGCAAGGACACAGCGCAAAGACTGAATGTTCTCTCACATGTCCTCAAAATGAGAGAAAAAATGTCAAAGATCACAGAGCTTGTGAGGGACAACATGGAGAAGGCACAGCATCGGCAAAAGACTTGGTATGACCGCACAGCAAAGAACAGAGAGCTCAAGCCTGGTGAGAAAGCTCTGGTCCTGCTGCCAACATCCGATACTAGTCTTTTAGCAAAGTGGCACGGGCCTTATGAGGTGCTCAGAAGGGTCAATCGGATGACCTATGAGTTATCTCTCCCCGACAGGAGAAAAAAGACACAGACATTCCACATCAACATGCTGAAGGCATGGAAAGAGGCAGACCACAACAGTTCAGAGCAACTATGAGTTCGAGCTGTTCAGGACGAGGAAGAAAACAGAGAGCAGTACTTCCCAACATCCAGTGAAAGCAGCTCAGCACCTGATTTGTCTCACCTCAACAACACACAGCGTGAGGAACTGGAGAGAGCCATTCCTCCAGGACTCTTCAGAGCAGACCCCGGTAGGACAGATGACACCCAGCACAACATCAGACTGCTGAAAAGTGAGCCAATTCGGCAAACCAACTGTTGAGTACCAGCGCGTCTGATCCCAGATCTGAAGAGGGAGGTAGAGACTATGCTTCAGATGGGGGTGATAGAGCCTTCAACCAGCGAATGGTGCAGCCCAGTGGTCCTGGTCCCGAAAAAGGATGGTGGACTAAGATTCTGTGTTGATTTCTCAAAATTGAACTCGGTATCAGCTTTTGATCCATATCCAATGCCGAGAGCGGACGAGCTGATTGAAAGACTGGGCAAAGCAAAGTTCTTGTCAACACTAGACCTTTGCAAAGGTTATTGGCAAGTTCCTTTGAGCCCAGAGGCTAAAGAACTTACAGCTTTTTCGTGTACCTTCAGGACTATACCATTTTTCGGTAATGCCTTTCGGGTTGCATGGAGCCGCAGCAACATTCCAAAGGCTGATGGACGGTGTACTGAAGGGTACAGAAGAGTTTGCTGCAGCTTACATAGATGACGTAGTCATCTATAGTGAGACTTGGGAGGAGCACGTGCGTCATGTCAGCGAGGTACTACAACAAATCAGCAAGGCAGGACTGACTGCAAATCCAGCCAAGTGTCACCTGGCAAGAGGTATGGTTTCCTACCTAGGCTACGTACTCGGGGGAGGAGTCATCCGCCCACAGGTCGACAAGGTGGAGGCGGTAAGGAATAGTCCAGCGCCAAACACAAAACGAAGGGTGTGATCCTTCTTAGGACTGGTCGGTTGGTACCGTCGTTTTATTCCAAACTTCTCCAAAAGAGCAGCAGTTTTAACGGACCTAGTGAAGAAAGACATGCCGCAAAAGGTAAAATGGACTGAAGAGTGTGAAGCAGCATTCTAGGACTTGAAAGACTGCTTATGCACAGAACCGGTTTTACACAGCCCAGACTTTGACAGACCGTTCGTGGTGCAGACGGATGCGTCAGGTTGTGGACTGGGAGCAGTATTGCTGCAGGAGCATGAGAGTGAGCTTAAGCTAATTCTCTATATCAGTCGGAAGTTGTTTCCAAGGGAGCGGAATTACTCCACTGTAGAGAAGGAGCCTTTGGCTGTAAAATGGGCATTAGACTCTC